TCAACTCCCTGGTTTTATTCATTCCTCCCTTCCGGTCTGCACCCACTGATGATATTATTCTGTACACATACAGGTCATCTACTTTATTCTTGCATTTACTCCCTAGGTGTACATACCTTCCTGTTTTTTCAGTAAAAGGAACTAACAGAATGACTGATTTTTATTCAGTAATGCCTTTTTCTTAATTAAGACTCCAGACCGTGGTTTTGTATATGGGAGTTAAAAACTATTGCTTCAACACTAGTTATACTAAGTTGTCCTGCTTTGATCTATAATCAAAGCCTGGCCTAATCATAAAATTGTAAGTTTCATACTTTAAAAGATGGGTTTTTTTTCCCTCCAAGACCAAAATATTATTTCCCCCTGAAAGAATACAGCTTATGCACACATGCAGCACGCATGGGCATACTTCATTCCTCTGATACTGTGAGATAGTTAAACATTTAAAACAGATGATTTTTTTCCAGATGTAATCAGAGTTATCCTTCAGATCCAAAATCTTTCCAGAAGACCTCACTGCCTCAATAAACATAACATAGGGGCAGCACCTGTGGCTCAAAGGAGTAGGGCACTGACTCCATATGCCAGATGTGGTGGGTTCAAACCCAGCCCCAGCCAAAAACTGCAAAGAAAATAAAAAATAAACATAACATAGTATGCCATTCCTTAACCTTTTCTTACATTATATCTGGTTGTGAATACTGGTTTGACTACCCTGTGCAGCCATGTAACAGAGAGCCCCAAGAACTTTAAGTTGCTGTGCCTGTTTGCCCTTCCTCAGACAGCCACAGACTCCCATGCATTTGAACACTCTCCTATCTGATGTTTCCTTTTCCTCCTCATTGCCTTTGTGCTCTTAAAGATGAAGAGAAAGTCTAGTTCAGTGATTAAAAGCACAGCAGCCCCACTCCAGGGGTTCAAATCCCCAGTCTGCAATTTAAGGCTTTACAACCTTGGCTTAGCCCCTGAACCCTCTCTCATTCATAAATCAGAATACTGTGATACAGATATAACCAGCCTCCCAAGTGCCTCTGTGTCCCATTCCAGTTACCTCGCTCCAAAAGAATAACTACTTTCCTGTTTTCTAGCACCCCAGAGTAATTTTGCTTGTTCTTGAACTTTATATCAATGGAATTATACAGCATGTATTCTTTTGTATCCGACTACTTTTGTTCAACATCGTTTGTGAGATTGGTCTATGTTGATTATGTTTCATATAATTGAAGTTTATTCATTTTCATGACTTTCATCATATTTCATTATCTGTGTATACTATAATTTACTTATTCAACTGCTGATGAACATATAAATATTTGGTGCTATTACAATAGCACTGTTATTACCATCCCTGTGCAGCACGGGTCTTTCGTTGAACATGGAGGAACATGTCTGTTGAGTCTTCCCCAAGTGTATAAATTCGGGGCAGTACGGTGTGGGCGTGTTCAACTTCAGTAAATTGTCACAACCATTTTCCAGAGTGGTTATAGCAATTGGCCCTCCCACCAGCAATGTAAGAGAATTCCAGTTGCTCCACATTCTTGCCACACGTTTGCCTTTTTATGTTCATGAAGTATATTAGTCTGAAGTTTTCTGTTTTTTATTATCTTTGTCTAGTTTTGATATCAAGGTAATAATGGCCTTATAAAATGAGTTAGGGAGTGTCCTCAGCTCTTTTCTTGCCAGAATTCTCTAGTGAAAGACAGCGGCTGGAGATTTTTGAAACTTAAAACTTTTTCCTTAATAAGACTATTCAGATTATCTATTTCATTCTGTATGAATTGTGGGTAATGTATGTTCTCGAAATAGCCTATCCATGTCATTTAAGTTGTAATATTTGTGTGTGTAGAGTTGTTAGTAGAATTCCTTTTGATAACTGCAAGATCTATAGTGTCAGCCCTGTTTCATTACTGATCATCGTCATTTACCTTCGTTTTCTTTTTTTGTCAGTTTTGCTAGAAGTTTATTAATTTTATTGATCTTTTCAAAGAACTAGATTTGTTTCACTGATAATCTCTATTTAGTTTTCTGTTTTCTATTTCATTGACTGCTTATCTGCATTTTTTGCTCTCCTGCTTGCTTTGAATACATTTTTGCTATTTTTTTCTAGTTTCTTGAGGGAGCACAGATTATCAATTTCAGATATTGATTTTTTTATAATGTAAATAGTTGGTGCTATACATTTCACTCTTAGCACTGCTGTAGCTTTATCCCCAAATTTTGATATGTTGTATTTCATTGTCCCTCAGTTCAATGAAACTTCCTCTTTAACTCACGGATTATTTAGAAGTGTGTTGTTTAATTTCCAAGTATTCAGAGATTTTACTTTTATTAGTTTCTAGTTTGGTTCTGTTATCATCAGAGAATATATTCTGTGTGATTTTAATTCTTATAAATTTGTTCAGGATTTATTATGGCCTAAGATATTGTATTGGTATATGTTTTGTAGGTACCTAAAAGAATGTGTAGTCTGCTGTTCTTGGATGGAGTGTTCTGTTAATATCAATTATTTGTTTGGTGGTGGTGTTGAGTTCTTTTTACCTTTCCTCACTTTCTGTCTAATTGTTCTATCGTGAGAAAGGTGTTAAAGTCTCTGGCTAAGCTCGTAGATTTATCTGTTTCTACTTCTTTCCATTCTATCAGTTTTGCTTCATGTATTTTATGGCTTTGTTATTTAGTACGTATACATTTAGAATTGCTGTGTCTTGGTAGATTGTCCCTTTTATCACTGTGGAATGTTCCATTCTTTCTCTAGTCATTTTCTTTGCTTTGAGGTCCACTTTTCCTGATATCATTATAGCTGCTCTTGCTTTCTTTTGATTGATGCTTGCCCAGTGTAACTTTGCTTTCTTTTGCTTTCAACCTACCTGTATTGTTATATTTAAAATGAGTTTTCTGTAGACATAGTATAACCATATTTTTATCCATTCTACCAATGTGTCCTTTAATTAATATACTTAGGACATTTACATTTAATGTAATTATTCATATATTAAGACTTAAGTGTGCCATATTATTTTTTTTTGTTCTCTGTTTGCTCTCCTTAGTTTTTCATCTATTTTCTTTTTCCTGCCTTTCTGTGGGTTCCTTGAACGTTTTGAAGGATTCCATTTTGATTTATCTATAATGCTAGAATGTTTTGTGCATCTCTTTCTAGAACTTTTTCAGTGGCTATTCTAGGTATAAGATTATCTACGAGTTACAACAGTTCACTGGTGCTGTCAATTTTACAAATTTTGCCTTTAACGCATTTATGCCAGAGGTTGAAATTTTTTAATTTTTTGCATGACTTTTTGACAAGGTCCCAGTTAGTATCTTCAGTCGTAACTAACTCTGTACACCATGTAGTAACAAGTACCCTCAAGAGGCAGATAGGTCAAAAAGCAGACCTCAGCTATGACCTTGAACACTAGTATGAAAATAATACCCTCATCACTACCATTCCAATAATGGAACAGGAGGTTAATATTTTACAATTATTTCTTCTTTTCACTTTTTTAAAATTTCAAATACTAAAGGGGTGCAAATGTTTGTGTTATATGGCTTGAGTCA